GCCTTAAACTTTTGCCCTCTCACCCTGAACCTGTGTCCCCTTCTAATCGAAACTTCAACTCTGGGAAAAAGCCTCTGATTATCTACCCTATCCATGTCTCTCATAATTTTGTAGACCCCTATCAGGTCTCCTCTCAGCCGGCGTCTTTTCAAAAAGAGAGCTGAAACTAACTTCGTTATTAAGCGCTGAATGTCTCGAGGGTGGTCATCACTCTTTCCTTTAACTACTGCAGTGATTGTGCTCCAACGATGGTGTTGGATACAAGACTTGGATTTGTAATTCCATCCTCAGGGGTGACTCTCAACTTTCAAGTATGGTGTATCAGGTCTAATCACTTCATTATTACAGAGCAGAGTTGGCCAAAGAGGGAGTGGGGGTAGCGAACCCAGAGTTTGGGGTGGGAGCTCTATGGAAGTATTGGCTACCATGGAACTTGATTCTTTCCAAACCCCATTTCAAAAGACTTTACTCCCCCATCCAACTATGACTCTCATACTTGTCACCAGTGGGGTCAGCACAATTTTCAGTCCTCATTTTGAGAAGGACTATTACAAAGCCCTTGTCCAGATTCATAAAAATCACATGAGGTGGGACAGCAGACTGTGGATAGAAATTAATTAGGTTCAACACATAGACAGAAAATAGGAGCAGGAGTCAGTCATTCGGTTCTTTGAACCTGCTCCCATTCAATATGATCATGGCTGATCATCCAACTCAGTACCTTGTTCCTACTTTCTTTCCATACTCTTTGATCCCTTTAACTCTAAGGACTATATCTAACTTTTTCTTGAAAACATTCAATGTTTGAGTCTCAAGCACTTTCTGTGACAGAGAATTTCACAGACTCACTGCACTCTGGTGAAGAAATATCTCCTCATCTCAGTTCTAAATGGCTTACCCCATACCCTTAGACTGTGAACTCTGATTCAGGACACCTTAGCCATGGGAACATCCTCATGCGTTTACCCTGTCTAATCCTGTTAGAATTTTATTGGTTTCTTTGAGATCACCCCTCATTCTTCTAGTCTCCAATGAATATATTCCTAACCAATAGACCACAATACCAGTGTCTCTTCAGACATCAGTCCTGCCATCCCAGGAATCAATCTGTTAAAACTTCATTGCACTCCCTCCACAGCCAGAACATCTTTCCTCATATAAGCAGACCAAAATTGCACATAAGCATTGCAGTTATGGTCTCACCAAGCCACTGTGTAATTGCAGAAAACGTCCCCACTCCTGTAGTTGAATTCTCTTACTACTAGTCTTCTTGCTGTACCCTTCAAGCTAATTGCCCATTAATATCACCACGAAGCTTATTTTAAGAAGCACTGCTACCAGTGCTAAACCTAAGTGTAGCAAGGCCAGATCAGAAACTAAAGTCAGCAGGATAATGATCCCATCTCCCCTACCGCACCAGTGCAGCTTGTTATTGGAAGTAGAGGAGAACTGAAGGGCACTGGTGTTTTAGAGTAGAACTCTTTAATTTCTCTTACAAAAAGTTGTGACTTCTAACACAATGATCAGTGGTGGTGAGTCCTCTGGTAAGGGGAATCAACGTAAAGCCTACATTTTGCTATAACTAACCATGTCTTATAATGCATACGAACAGAGTCTGCTACATGGCAAAGTATGCCGCATGGCCCCGTGAGCCTCCTCGACCATTCAGTAAGATTGTGGTTGATCTGATTACTCCAGATTCCTACCTAGCCTTGATGACCTTACAACCTCTTGCTTATCATAAATCTATCAACCTTGAACTTAAAAGTATTCAAAAATCACTTCTGCCACTTTTGAGGAAGAAAGTTCCAAAGACTTTGAGAAAGAAATTCTCATCTCTGTCCTAATTGTATGTTTCCTTATTTTCAAATACTGAACCCCGAGTCCTAGTTTCCTCAAATCTAAGAAATTTTGGAAATTTCATCAAGCATCAACTGTCCCTCCCAAGAAACATTGGGTGGAGGTCGTGGCACAGAGGTAGTGTGACTAGACTTATACTCCAACTTCCTAAGTTAATGTAACAACGACATGAGTTCACATCCCACCACATCAATTAATGAAATTTGCATTTAACGATAGAACAAAATCTGGATTTGAAAAGCTGTCTAATGGTGACAATCTAACAAATGCCATTTGGAAAAAACAATCTAATTCAGTAATATCTACTCCTCAGGAAGGAGTTACATATAGTCCTTAGAGTTAAGGGGATTGAGGAATATCGGAAGAAAGTGGAACCAGATTTTGAATTGCATGGCCATATTGAGTGCAGAGCAGACTTAAATGGCCGATTCCATTTCCTATTTTCTATGTTTTTATAACCCTGGAATGAAGTCCATCAGGACCTGAACATATCTGAGGCCACAGCTCGAACAATTTTCTCAGTACCACTTTCTGAGAAATTACTGCTCAAAGTCATACTCAAATTGAAATTGATAACATCTAACATTTCTGGATTTATAGTTTATGAACAAAGAAAATTACAGCACAGGAACAGGCACTTCGGCCCTCCAAGCCTGCACCAACATGCTGCCTGTCACAACTAAAACCCCCTACCCTTTATTCCTATCCTATTCTTGTATTTGTCAAGACGCCCTTTAAAAGTCACTATCGTATCAGCTTCCACTACCTCCTCCAGCAGTGAGTTCCAGGCACCCACCACCCTCTGTGTAAAAAATATGCCTCATACATCACCTTTAAACCTTGCCCCTCGCACCTAAAACCTATGCCCCCTAGTAACAGACTCTTCCACCCTGGGAAAAAGCTTCTGACTGTCCACTCTGTCCATGCCCTTCATAATCTTGTAGACCTCTATCAGGTCGCCCCTCAACCTCCATCGTTCCAGTAAGAACAACCCAAGTTTCTCCAACCTCTCCTCATAGCTAATGCCCTCCACACCAGGCAACATCCTGGTAAATCTTTTCTGTGCTACATCCTTCTGTTTGTGTGGTGACCAGAATTGAACACAATATTCCAAATACAGCTTAACTAAGGTTCTGTAAAGTTGCGATATTACCTGCCAATTTTTAAACTCAATGCCCTGGCTGATGAAGGAAATCATTCCGTATACCTTCTCCACCTGTGTTGCCACTTTCAGTGATCTGTGTACCTGTACACCCAGATCCCTCTGCCTATCAGTACTCTCAAGGTTTCTGCCATTTACTGTATACTTTCAATCTGGATTAGACCTTATGAAATGCATTACCTCACATCTTTCCAGATTAAACTCCATCTGCCATCTCTCTGCCCAAGTCACCAACCGATCTACATCCTGCTGTATTCTCCGATGGCCCTCATCGCTATCTGCAATTCCACCAACCTTTGTGTCATCTGCAAACTTACCAATCAAACCAGTTACATTTTCCTCCAAATCATTTATATATATTACAAATTACAAAGGTCCCAACATTGATCCCCTGAGGAACACCACTAGTCGTAGCCCTCCATTCAGAAACGCATTTTTCTACTGCTACTTTGTGTCTTCTATGATTGAGCCAGTTTTTTATCCATCTTGCAAGCTTACTTCTTGCAAGCGATTTTACCTTCATGTCAGTCTGCCATGCGGGACCTTGTCAAAGGACTCACTGAAGTCCATGTAGACCACATCCACTGCCCTACCCTCATCAATCATCTTTGTCACTTCCTCAAAAAACTCAATCAAGTTAGTGAGACGTGACCGCTCCTTCATAAGACCATGTTGCCTCACGCTAAGACGCCCACTAATTTCCAAATGGGAATAAATCCTGTCTTGAAGAATCCTCTCCAATAATTTCCCTACCACTGACGTAAATCTCACTGGCCTGCAATTAGCTGAATTATCCCTGCCACCCTTCTTAAACAAAGGAACAACACTGGCTATTCTGGCGACCTGCTCAATAGCCAGTGAGGATACGAAGTTTTCTTTCAAGGCCCCAGCAATTTCCTCCCTTGCCTCTATCGGTATTCTGCAGTATAATCCATCAGGCCCTGGGGACTTGTCTACCTTAATGCTTTTCAAGACCCCCAATACTTCCTCCCTTTTATTCTCAACATGACGCAAATTATCTACACACCCTTTCCCAGACTCATCATCTACCAAGTCCTTCTCTATGGTGAATAGTGACACAAAGCACTCATTTGATGCCTCACCCATTTCCTCTGGCTCCACACATAAATTCTCTTCCCTGTCCTTGAGTGGGCCAAGCCTCTCCCTGGCTACCCTCTTGCTCTTTATATATGAATAAAAAGCCTTGGGATTTTCCTTAATCTTGTTGGCCAATGACTTTTCTTGACCCCTTTTAGCCCTCCTGACTCCTTGCTTAAGTTTCTTTCGACTTTCCTTGTATTCCACTCTTGCTTCATGTGTTCCCAGCCTCCAAGCCTTGACAAATGCTTCGTTTTGCTTTTTGGTTGCAGCATTATGCATTGGCTTTAATATTAGGTTGGTAATCATCTATGTCATTGTCAAAATTAGGAGCAGGCTGCACAACCTATTGATCTATAAGATCATGGTTGATCTTTCCTCTCAATTCCACTTTCCATCATCTCTCCATATTCATTGTCAATCTCCAGATTTCCCCAAAGTACCTTACAGCCAACTAAGTACATTTCAAAATGTGGTCATTGTTGTAATATGAGAAATAGGGCAATCAATTTGCATAGAGTAAGGTTCCATAAACCATTACGAGATTATCAGCCAATAATATCTTAGTGATAATAATTGAGTGTTAAATATTGGTCAGGGGTGAACTCTCCAGCTCTTCTGTGAAAGACTTCTGCAGGTTCTTCTCCAGGCCTTCAGTTTATCAGCTCATTTGAAAGGCAACACACCCAAATGTGTAGCACTCTCTCAGTACGGCTAGATAAGTGTCAGCCTGGATTTTGTGCTCAGATCACTGGTGTGGGACTTGACCCCACAATCTTTTGACTAAGACTAGAGAGCCCCTCATGAAGCCATGGTCTAGATTCAAAATATGAATTCATAAGCAAGTTGCAGGGGAAGAATTACATTACAAAACACTTACATCTCTCCCAGGTAACCCTTGTGGTCCAGTTTCTCCAAGATCACCTTTTTCACCCTGATGAACAAGAAGCAAGAATCATAATTAATTTAATGATTAAAAGCATGTGAACAGTACATGAGCCAGTGCATATCTGACACATTAGCCAATCAACTTAACGTGAATGAATTGTTTGGATTTATTTGTCACTTCACCCTCTAATGTCATATGCCACCACTGCAATTGGGAACCATGTAGCTCTACATCTAAACGTAGGGACCAGACACACAGCATTGAGGCCAATGTTATCCTCATCAAATGCCCTAATACTTTGTAGCATCTTAATAAACAATAATGGGAACCTGAGCTGTTTTCATTCATCTCCCATTCGATAATTTGATTCTACACTTCTCCATTTGATTAAAAATACTTCATTTTATTTAAAGAGAAGGGGATCTGTTAATTATGTATTAATTGGGTCCAAGTGCTGGATATTAACTGGTGATTCACTTGTGCCTCTGAGAAAGGATTGGACTGACACTGTGGTTGTTGGATGAACAGATGCATGTTTGTAATAAGTATCTACAAATAAATGCTTATGTAAGTGTGTAAAGTGTATAAAGTTTGGCTTTAGCTCCACCTCTCAGAACCTAGCTGTCTGAATTATAACAGACATCTCCTATACTTTTCAGTAAGAAAGAATGCCCATTACATAATCACGGATAAAGAAGGAAAAGCTTTACAAAAATTTTAACACTATCAAAATGTATCAGACTTGTTGCAATCAAGCAATTATAAAGCAACAAATATTTCCTGAAGTTAAATTGTGACGCTTAATTTGATGTGAATGATTTCTTTCAAAATTAAGTAAAACACAGACATATTGCTTTACAAATACCATCATAAAGGAAAAGATATCTGTTCTTACTGCATTTCAATGGAGCCAAAGATAATTAAAAAGGCAGAGTAAATGAAACAAAGTGCTCATGAAGTATAAGTGAATGATTTTTTAAATTCAAATAAAGAATAATGAGTCAAACAATCACCCTTGTTTCAAGAAAGTGATTTTGAATAATTCAGCTTTTTACAACAATTCACACAGTACATTATTAAGGGAACTAACAATGCTTTTCAATATACAAACATTATCTAGGAATGAAATGTGTTTGTTTTATCAATATAATCACACTGTCACTGGTGGACAGGCACTCAACAGGGAATGAGTTTAATGTTTCATTTGTTAATTAAGTGCTTACATAAATGACTAGGCAGCATGTTAATAAAAATAAACTACTGGAGATCTGTATTGAAAACAGCAGAAACTGGAAAAACTCAGTATGCCTGGTAGCGTCTATGGAGAGAGAAGTAATTCACTCACATTTTGCCAATGTTTTATACATTATTTGCTTTATTTTCCAGATAGAAACCAGAGACATCTTTTGAACCTATGGCAGGTATGTACAAACTGGTGTGTTCAAAGATAAATGTTGCAAGTGGAGTCAATTCCCAGTGCATCACAGGATTGTACCTCCTCCCCCTCCCTATCATACTGAAAGCAGCATTCCACTGTAAACCTAATTCTAGATGCTTGGTAACAATCAACAAACCATAGAATCCACTCTGAAAGCACTGGTCATGCCACTGAATTTTGTACTATATCAATATACTATGCAGTGCGTCCCCAAATCATTACAAAACAGCTCCAAACAATCCTTATAGTTGAGTCAATCTTGACCTTCACAACTGTGAACTGACTGGCCGCCTGTGTTTCTATATCTATGTTCATTGGTGGAAGGGAGGGTCAAGACTGCAATGACAGTGATCAGAGATTCGCAACTACAACGGGTATGTCAATCACCAAAATGTATTCATTTCTCTCTTTGGTAAGACTTGCATTTGAATGAACTTTCATCTCACGCCCTGTTTTGAAGTGTTTAAGGAATTTGCAGGTGAGTTTCGGAGACATGCAGTGCTATAACTATAACCTCAGCAGTCTTGTGAGAAAGTTGCCAGAAAGTTGAAATTAGAGCAGCTCTAAACAGAGATGTCCACTGTGATATCCTCACGTCTAACTAAACACTGTTTGAAGGGACATCTTGGGGAGCTGGTCGGAGTTTACTTGAACAGAAAAATCCATCCTTAAACAGTAAAAATACAGGTTGCTTTAAAAACTTGATATTTAAATATAATTTTCTACATTTCATCTGCCAAATCCTTTTTATGGCAAAATAATTAATAACTACAGAATTAGAATCCCCTAACTTTCTGGGACATGGAATGGAGGTTACTGAGAAATCCTTTAAAAATACATATTTTGTATTTGTTTACATCTGTCACTTTGACAAGACAAATGTGGACAGAAAGTGAATCTCTTTTAACACTTCCTTTATTTAAGCTAGATTATCTGTCAAATCCAATACTGTACTAAACAATCCAAATTGAAATGCTCTAACATATACAATATTGTACTTACTGCTCCTTCCGAGTTTGATGAACAAGGTGTTTATCATTCAGGTACCCTACAGCATGCAAACTTTAAAAATGAGCCATTCACTTTACAATGCAGCACAATCACAATTCCTTTTCTCCCAGTCTATGCCAAGTAAATCATGTTGAACTTGAAGAACTTTTCCATTTGAACTAGTTTTAAGACATGCCCTGGCCCCCTGTACTTCTGAGCTCTCCCAATGATTTTTCTTTGTCAATGATTAATTATTTAGAGGTGAAAACTCCTGTCTGTGGATGTATTCATTTCAAAGGCAGGTTTTTAGGAATGGAAAAAACATGGGAGCAGGAATACACCATTCATCCACTCGAGCCTGCACCATCATTCTAGGTCATGGCTGATTATCTACCTCAATGGAATTTTTCTGCTCTATCCCCATATGCCTTGATGTCATTACTGACAAGAACTCTTAGCAATCTCTATTTTAGGCTTAATTAATCTCTGAGCTTGCACAGCCTTCCGGGGTACAGAATTCCAGAGAGTCACCACAGTCTTAGTGAAGAAATTCTTTTTCATTTCATTCTTAAAAGGTCTGTCCTTTATCCTGAGATTACGAACCCTGGTTGGCGATCCCACAGCCTGGGGAAACACGATTTTTGCACCTAATCTGTCTGCCTGTCTTTTTAAGAATTTTGTGTATTATTATCAGATCACCTTTCATTCTTCGAAACTCTGCAGAAAACACGCCCAGTCCCCTCAATGTTTCATCATAGAACATTCCTACCATTCTAGGAATCGGTCTGGTGAACCTCCACTGGATTCTCTCTATAACAAACGTATGCTTCCTCAGGCAAGGAGGGCAGACTACACTCAATATTTCAGAATTAGTTTTGCTAATGCGCAATGCAAATGCAGCCAGACTTGGTTGCTTCAGCTCTTAAATCCTCTTGTGACAATGACCAACATACCGCTTAGCTTCCAAACTACTTGCTGCTCCTGGATACTAGCTTTCAGTGGTTCTTGAACAAAGAACCCTAGATCTCTTTGGAACTCAACACTTTCTAATCTCTCACAATGGCTGATGCAAATAACTTTAGCGGTAATTAAGCAGGTACAGTAACAAATTATCTAGGAGTTTCTGATGCTTAGTGGTGAGCATAGAATAGAATCTATAGAATCCCTACAGTGGGGAAACATGCCATTCGGCCCAACAGGTCTACACCGATCCTCCAAAGATCCTCCATCCCTATAACCCTGCATTTGCCATGGCTAAAGCCACAAATGTGCAAATGATTATTAGTTTCGTTTCACTCAAACTTTCATGAAAGGCAGTGTTCCCCAGGGTTCAAATAGCCTGATAACTCTTACTGAAATCAATTTGTCTCCAGGTGACATCAGTTCAGTCTTCCATTATAAATCAGATGAGTGCCAAGGAACGGCGGTACATCCACATGTGCCTCCATATCCCTGAATACTATGGATAATTTAGCATGGCCAATTCACCTAATTTGCACATCTTTGGACTGCGGGAAGCAACTGAAGCACCCAGTGGAAACCCACGCAGACAAGGGGAGAATGTGCAAACTCCACGTAGACAGTCGTTTGAGGCTGAAATTGAACCTGGGTCCCTGGCACTGTGAGGCAACAGTGCTAACCACTGAGCCACCATGCCAAGCACTCTACCTCGGAGATAGAGCTCTAGATTTGAATCCCATACCAGGACCTACTGGCCTTTTGTAACATAACTAAACAGATTGTTTATCAGCTTGTCAATGCTTCTAATACACCTGATGTCAGGTGGTGAGTGTCAGCCATTCTGCAGAAGGCAGGGTCAAAGTACTGTAGTACTGTGACCACAAGTATGGATGTCCATGGGCCAATCCTTGTAAACAAGGATAGGAGAAAAAGAAGACAGAGCATCACATTGATGGAGAAATGTACAGCCCATAATAATGACAAATCCCTTCTTGTTTTTCTATACAGGGCCAATACTATGGTTTTGTATGTTTGACAGGGAGCTCAGGCCTGGAATTTAGGACCACAATGCTGTGACTTCATCTCTGACTCCTGTGAGGTTGGATCTGACTGCAAGCATAGGTCTATGCAATTGCCTCTTCTTTGTGGACTCTTAATATCAAACTGGAGAAGGCAGAGGCTTCCTGTATTAGAGAGACTGCACAGCAACAAATGGAACTACAGCGGCTGAAGCATTTATGTATTTAACTTGCCTGTATCTTCTCATTTAGCTTTGCCGCTGTTCCTTGGCACTCATCCGATTTATAATGGAAGACTGAACTGATGTCACCTGGTGTCAAATTGGTTTCAGTAAGAGTTATCAGGCTATTTGAACACTGGGGAACACTGCCTTTCATGAAAGTTTGAGTGAAACGAAACTAATAATCATTTGCACATTTGCACCGCCAATTGTCCTCTTTTTAACCTACAAGATGCCGTGGCCACAATAAACCTTTTGGTATTGTTAAGATAATACAGAATATTGACAGTCTCCCGAAGTCATTAATGGTATTTTGACACATTCCATTGTGAGATACATTGTACCAAAAGGTTATATGTAGAACATAGAACAGTACAGCACATGAACAGGCCCATCAGCTCACCATGTCTGTGTCGA